TAGTGAAATGACCAAGAAAACTCATAATTAATAGTTACTTTTTAAACTTTTTAAAATAAAGATTAAGTAAATAGTAAACTTAATATTATCTCAAATAAACTAGGGGGAGGGGTATTCATTATAATGGTAAAGGTTATAAAAATAACTTACTTGATATACCGAGAATAAATAATTGATAGATAAAAAAATTATATGACATACTGTAGTCATTATTTAAGATGATCAGGTCAGTATTAAAAAGGGAATGAATATTAAATACCTATTATAAAAACCTAGTATATAATTATATTATATACCGGTATTAGAGTTATCGAAATACATATTATAAATAAAAATAGATTTATAATTAATATTTTAAGTATAATATTGATATACCAAATACTTAAACATATTATTGAATCATTGAAAAATCGATAAACATATACTTATAAGTACAGTGTGTACCTGAAATTATGTAAATCACCAAATTGTAAAACTGTAGAAATTAATTGAATGTTAAAAATAAAGTTATAATTAATTAATTGAAATGTTATAATGGCAACTATTTAATGAAATACATTTTGTAACTTTTATAAATATATTATTTGAGATTTTCAGAAAATTTAACAGTCAATATGAAAAAGCGAAGAAATATCAGAAACATCTGAAAAGATTTAATTATTAAAATTTGTATTAAAAAAATGTATTTAAAAATATTTATATTACTTTGAATGCAATACTTTTTGTGATAACGAATTGATTGCCACACGAAAAGCCAATTAATCGCTTTTTATCACTGACTCTCTCCATACATAACAATAGCTGAAAATAAAAAGTTTTAATATATTTATTATTAGTAATTTGCTTAACAATATTTATTATATCAATTGATGCAAACCTTTATTTTATTATTGATAGTCGTGAAGTTTATAGCAAAATAATAATTGTTTAATTTATAATATGTTTTAGTAATTTTATAATGAATTTGAGAAATTATTAAATTGAGTGATACTAGAGATAATCCAGTTACAAAGACTAGAGAGATATAAAATATTTGCGTAACAAATGAAAAGTTTTCAAATAATATGATGTAAATCATAAATTCATTGAACGGTATAATAGAGTAGCATAACATAAAATACATATTTTTCCAAAATCTATTATGAGTTTGAATATCCAGGCACAGTTTATTATGTTTAAAGACTAGAGTATTAATTGTTTTACTCTTAACAAAGTATTTAGTTTTTTGTAATTTGGTTAACATCTTAGAAAAATCTTTGACTCTATATCTCAAATAATGACAAACCATTAGATAGTAAAATATTGGTAACACAAACTAGGGAACAGTTGCAAAGGCCTTGATTTGCATCAAGGTAATACCAATGAAATAACTGATTATGATATTAATATTTAAATCAGATATATTGGTATGTAATACTAGTATAATAATAGTCATGGAAAATATAAATGTTAAAATTTCTAAAACTCTTACGACTATTATTACAAATTTATAATATAATTTTATTTGCGTAACATAATCAGTAATTATAGTTTTTCTATTTAAACCAGTTGATTGAAATGTTATTGATTTATTTAAAGCGGCAATTATATCAAACCATTTGTAATATGTTTTGTTACTGAAATTCATTATTATCAACATTAATAAAGCCATATAATCGGCTATTATTGAACAAAAAAATATATACACTTTTATATTAACTGAATATTGAAACAGTTCAAAGTAGTAATAAGGCAAATGTTTGTATTTTTCACTTTTTATTATATAAAACAAATAGCGAATTATATTAATTGTATTAATTATAATAAATGCAAATACTTTACACTTTTGTATGAATTGTTGTCTTTTGGACACTACTATCCCATTGGTGTCATACCTAAAGAATATCCAATACTTGTATAGAGTGTCATTTAAGTCCATTGTATCAGGTATATTTTTATTATGAATTCAATTTATTGATACTTAATCCCTGTTCTCTTGCACACTTAACATTTAGTGGAAATTTGTTTAATTAATTGTTATGCTCTTAGATTGTTATATTATTAATGAACACATTAATTGTTATATTAATTGAGGGTCATACATGTTACATTATCTTAATTATTCAACTAACGATAAGTAAGTATACTATTAATAGCATTTAAAATTACCTTCAAAATTACTTCAACAAATAAAGTACATTATGTATGAATTAATTATTATTGTTAATATATTAATTATTAATACAGTTTTCAACTAATAAAACTTTACATAAAACAAGTTTCATACATTTAATACAACGGTAATACATTATGAAAGATATTAAGATTTTAAAATTATTATTAAATTCATTTAAATAGTAATTATATTTTGGCTTTAATATGAAATGCAATCATAGGGTCTTCCCATGTGTTGTCCACAAATATATGTGCCTTTCCGTCATTACCAACAGTTAATGTCTTTCCCGTGCACTTGCCATCTAATATACATACAAATAATTGTTTTAATGAACAGTATATAAAAATCTAATATACTATTAATATTAATACCGATTAAACCGCCGGATATTATATCACAATAAGTACCGGCCGGTAGACCCGTACTGTTAGTCATATCAATAGGTTTCACATCATTATTGATGGCAATAAAGGCTTTATTGCCGCGACTGAAGGCAATCTGATTGTTAAACTCCCACCAATTGGCTACCGGTTCACTGCCCGCTATATTCCTTAACCTAACCATATTATAGATCTGATGCCACCTGTGCTCACATATCCATTGACTTGAGTCGCAACTCAGATCCGGATTACGTTTCACATCCAATATATGATCGCCGGAGTCATGGGGCGGTCCTATGTATGAGTTGCTGTCGATATACCTGTCCCCTTGTTTCTAGTGTTTGAGATAATTAGTTAATCACATAAAGGACAGGTAGCCTCTAGTGGTATACCTCAAGTTTCCTAGGCCAATTATAGCTGCTCATAATACGAGGTATGCCGTATGGCCAGGCTAACATGAAAGCGGTGGTCATTTTGAGTAGTTTGGGTTCAAAGAAGGTGACGGTCACGTTGATGTCACCGGACCATTATAATGAATACCCCTCCCCCTAGTTTATTTGAGATAATATTAAGTTTACTATTTACTTAATCTTTATTTTAAAAAGTTTAAAAAGTAACTATTAATTATGAGTTTTCTTGGTCATTTCACTATTTATATCAAACTCTCAATAAATCTAATAATTCTTTCATATTTTAGAGGAATATATAATTTTATTGTAAATTAACGAGATTTAAATAAAAGATCAAACTTTATTTTTAATCAATAAGTCAATTGTAAGTGTGTTATTATTTTATCGTTGCATACCTGTGCCGACAAAAACATATCAAATATAGTTATAATTTATTTTTACATTAAGGGCATTATGTACCATCCATATCAACACTATTATCCTTTTAACATTAAATTAAATCATATGTTATTGATTATACTTATCAATAAACAACTATATAAAGAAAATCACAGTAAAAATTAATATAATTAATATTTGATCATGGATTATATTAGTAATAATAATTTAAAACATCCTGTTAATGTAGATTATACAGAGAAAATATGCGATGAAAATATTAGTATAAATAAAATTAAATTTAGTGATAAATTAAAATGTATGTGCAGTGAATGGGATAAATATGTTTACACATTTAGCATATTATTGGGATGCATTAATTATGTATTAAATTTTATACTATTAACTACTTATGTTTTGTTTGAATTATGAATAATAAAAATAATATAAGGTATTTTAAAATAGGGAATTTCAAATAGCATATTCTCTCCAACTATGGTTGACATGAGATTTTTATTTCATACATCGATGACCAAGATTACATTGGCAAACACTTGTTCAAGTGCTGGATATTTAACCGGCGCACTTAGTATGTATAAAATTAGTTATATTTTTAATTATATTTAAAATTATTATTTTTATCATATATTTAGGTGGATTTCTATACAAATATCTAAACCGACAGTTGGTGTTCATAGTAATGGTATTAAGTGCTGCCATTAGTATAACATTAACACCGTTTTGTCCAAACGTAGAGCTCCTATACTTGTGTTCATTCATTACAGCAGTGGGTGGAGGGGTCTGGGACTCCGGGAATCAGGTTTGGTCTATAGAGTTATGGGACCAGAAAAGTCCATCGGTATTACAATTGTCACAAATGATGTTTGGCTTGGGATCCATATTAGCGCCATTAATTGCGAGAGATTACATTGTGGGTGACCTGTCCCTGGATATGGACACCACAACTCCAGACTCACTAAATATTTTCATGAATTCATTAAACGATTCCGATATTAATTACTCAATAGACAGACGACCCAGACTTAAGATACCATACATGATAGTCGGGGCCATTGGCATCATTAGTAAGATTATTATCAACTTTTATTTGTCAAAAAGTGAATAATATATTTTGTACCATGCTTAGATCCACTCATTCTATTGATAATGTTTATTGTGAAGAGATATAAAGTACCCGAAAATTACATAAATAGTATGACTGATGATAGTCCAGTGAATTCACAAATAATACAATCGTCTAAATACAGGCTAATATTGATCATATTGGTGGCACTCAGTCTTAATTGTTATTCAGGTGTGGAACAGGTATTTATGAATAGCTTCTCCGCGTATTTACATTACCTCCCGATCCACATACCCGTGCAAACGGCTGCCGATATTTCAGCCCTACTGTCCGGTGTCTATACAGCCGGTCCACTACTATCATCATTTTTATCCAGGTGGTTTAGTCCGGAAATTATGCTAAGCTATCACTGGACTGTTATGTGTATTTCATTAGTTGTATTAAAGTTTAGTGAAAATAGTTTGACTCGTATTTGGATTGTCAGTGCCTTTATTGGTATGTAAATTATTTTCAAATTTTTAATTTCGTTTAAATTTAGTTTATATTTAATGTTTACTTTCCCTGAAACTAAAATTATTACAAATGAAATATTAAATACATCGCTAGGTTATGGCTTTTCATCAATGTACCCTGCATACTATGCCTTTACGGACAAACACTTGACATTTACCAATAAAATCTCGGCGTTTGCCTCATTTGTGTCGGCCCTGTGCCCACTCGTCTCCCCCTTCGTGATCGGACCCCTCATTGAAGAGCACCCGACGGTTTTGCTTGACTTGGATTTTGTCTATTTAGGCCTCACTTTCGTATTATTTATATTTATGTTATTTATTATTAGGCTATCAAAGCGAGTCTCAACTAATAATAATGCAACTAAATTGTAACAGGACATTTTAAAAGTAAACTTATTTCAATGGATATAATATGATTTAAATGTGTATTTTTTCATTAAAAATTAAAACATGATAACTTAATACAAAATATACATAAGATATAGTGTTTTAAATTTTATTAATTTATATAAATTATAAACTCAAACAATTTGAGGGTCAGCTCAATTCAACAACACTTGTGGCAGGTATTAATAAACACTTAATAATAAGTTTAATTAAACACTTCAAGGTTTAATTTTTGCTAAATTTATACAGTATAATAACAAATTTTTTTTGCGTACTTTTTATAAAAACAAATTTTAACAAATATAATTATGTATGATTGTTAAACGACTAAACGGATTTTAAAAACGTATATGTCTTATAAGAACAAATAATATATAAAAGTAACTAATTGTGGTAATTCTGATATTAAGCGTTGTTATCATTACTTTTTATAAAAACTTAGCGTACATTTAGTGTTTACAAATGGTGTTTACTTTTGGACTAAATTTAGTATTCTAATCACTTTTGTTGTTTAAATAAACTTAATAAACACTTAAATCATTTCATTCACAGAATTCACATAACATTCAAAAATAATATTTCAATTATTTCGCAGAATTTTTGTTAAGAGTCAACAAAATAAGTATAAATTCAAAACAACTTTTAATCCCTTTCCTGGTTAGCCCTCTGTTTCCCTGAAAATGTTACATATATTTTAAATAATAAATAAAATATCTGTTTTAACTCACATTTCTCGCCAATAAATTCAAACATCTTAGGCTATAAAATAATAAACACAATGAAAATTTTGTATAAATTTCCCACAACTTTACACACGCTTTATATAAACATTTTGCTGTCATTTAAGACACGAAAACAAGAATTCAATTCAATTTTCTACTCAATCCTAACATTATTTCACCAAAACTTCATATAAATATTGAATTCAT